GGAACCCCCTGGTTTTCCAAATTAAGCCAAAATCATGTGCTACTCCTAGGGCATACCTGGAGTCTGTATAGATGTTGACACGTTTCCCTTCAGACATCCTGCATGACCCTTGTTTCCTCTGTGGGGGATGTCATGTATAAGAGCAGGGGCAAAGAACAAAGAACAGAAGTATCTTTACGAGAAAGTGGGGTAAGTAATTGAACCTGACCATCGGCAGTGAAGGAGATAGAAGCCCCTAAGAGGTTAATGGGACAGGTGGATGAAACAACAAACCAAGAGAGAATGAAAGAACCAACCCGCAAGAGCTTGGTTAGTGGGTTGTTCCTGGGGGTACCATCACAAGAAACATTGGTGTCAGACAGACAAGAAGGATCAGGCAGGTCTTGTTCTCTGAGAACACTGCGGGCTGCACCTGTGTCAACTAGGAAGGTAGTAGGATAACCCTCAACTGGTAATACAACTGTAGCTAGGGCCCCCCCGTCCCCTGTAAACACTGCCATAACAGGGGTGTCAGACAGAGGTTTGCTGGTTACCTATTGTACAAGGTCTAGATGAGATTGATCAGGGCCAGTAACGTGTAGTACAGTGGCCTGATTGATGATTTTGATGGGCAGGGCAATAATGATTAGGTGCTGGATGATCATTTTGCTGAAAGTCATCTGAATCATAATTAACTGGGGGAGGGTGAGCATTAAATTGATTGGGTTGATAAGCCCAGAAGCATGCGGTTACTACCTCGAACAGCCGCTGAACGGGAGTTCCGAGCCGCCTACTTATAGGTATATTTCCCTTGTCAAGGGAATTTAATAAGGGGAGAACTGATTGACAACCTATATCAGGGCGGTGGCCAGCACTTAAGGGCTCATACACTGTGCAGTGGTGTATTCTGGTTTTGTGCTGCCCTAGGCGGTGGAGGATTCATTATTTTCCACTAGGGATTATTAAAAAAACATTATCCTTGATACAGTGCCATAGTTGCCAACATTTGAAAAAAAAATTCCAAGGACATTTTGCAGCACAGCTATCAATTACTGTCTGGGTATAATATCCCTGGACAGTCAGTGCTCTCTGTATAATACAGGGTTGTGTGTATAATAAATTGGGACACTCAGTGCTCCCTGTATAGTGCTGCTCTCTGTATAATACAGGTCTGTTTGTGTATAATATCCCAAGACAGAAAGCAGCACTATACAGGAAGCACTGACTATCTCGGGATATTTTATACACACAGATCTGTATTATACAGATAGCTGAGCATATACCCCAATCTCTAGACTACTAGTACCTGTCAACAGCAGCTCCCAGACGCGTGTAACAGGGCTAAAGTGTGCGGCAGCTCACACAGATTATTCAGCGGTAAAGTGCACTCGCTGGCAGAGCCAAACTGGGAATCCCTGGGAATCCAAAGCAGCCCTGGAAAAAAAACGTATGCCATTCCTACAAGTCAAAATATATATATATATATATATATATATATATATATATATAGAATATCCAAGTAGATGGCTGCACTAACGGTTTTGTATAAAAGTCCAAAGTTTATTGAAAAAACATAAAATAATTTGCGATCTATATATAGTACAGTATTCATATATATAGTACAGTAAGCACACAAGCGCAAATAGGCTTACTGACAGACAAAACTCTCTGACTCACACACAAGCTTACTACAGACACTCACTTGTATAAACAGAAGGCTCACTACAAAGAAGTTCAGGGACACACACACAAGCTCACTAAAGACAAGCTCAGTGACACACACATGTTCACTAAATAGAAGCTCACTGACACACACAAGCAGTACCATTTTAACAGAGTTAAGGGCCCCTGGGCAAAGCAATACACTGGGGCCCTTCCTACACAACAGGAATTTTAATTATTGATAGACTGCGGAGTCCATACACACAGACACAGACTGCTGAGTCCATACACACACACAGACTGCTGAGTCCATACACACACACACAGATTGCTGAGTCCATACACACACACACACACACACACACAGATTGCTGAGTCCATACACACACACACACACACACACACAGACTCTGCTGAGTCCATACACACACACACACACACTCTGCTGAGTCCATACACACACACACAGACTGCTGAGTTCATACACACACACACACACAGACTCTGCTGAGTCCATACACACACACTCTGCTGAGTCCATACACAAACACACACTCTGAGTCCATACACAAACACACACAGACTGCTGAGTCCATACACACACACAGACTATTCCGGCTCCCAGCCTCACTCTGCGGCGCGTGAGGGAGCTGAGCGGACAGCTCAGAGGAAGAGCTCCCTCGCCAGCCGCCCGCACAGCAGCCAGCGCCGCTCGCCAGCCCAGCATGTCTGTTAGCCACGAGGCTAACAAGGCATTTGCCCTGGGCATTTGGGGGCAGCGTTTTTTGCCGCCCCCTGGAAAATGCCGCCCAAGGCAAATGCCTTGTTTGCCTCGCAGCTAATACGTCCCTGACCCTGTGCAACTAGGGTGAGCCCCCACTATACGTGCGCTGCACGGTGCTGCTGAGCGGAGGCGTGCAATGGCAACCTCTATGTACTAGGTGAGCCCCAGTTTATTCTATTTGGCCACAATTCGGACTACGACCCGACAGGTCTTCCGTGAACACTGCCTACTATTATAGTAGACTAATCTGTTTGCCCTGCAACCTGTGCCTACGATAAACCTACCAGACATCAATATGCAGACATCGAAGCTGGACAGAACAACTCAGATGACTATGGTGACCAACGGAGGATGCCTTTCATGGTTCGCGACCTTACCATGAATAGTGCTGGATGCCGCCAAACGCTGTCCGGGAATGGGCATAAGATTTGGGTTATGGACTCAGAACTGTTTCTGTTTCTCACAGAAAACCCCATTATTCGCCTCTCCCATAGGATACGCATAGCAGCACTCCTCCGCATTTCCGCACTTCGCCACTTGGTCCTGGAGAGGCCTGCTTGCCAGTCTCCTGCCCTGCGACTATGGCCCCTGGGAGATTGTATGTGTTTAAACCAGCATTTGGGCATATGGACTTTTATTGTACGGTGCTGGCCCTTATATACATACTGAAACTTTTACCCTTACATACTGAAACTTTTGAGACACTTTTTCTGCCCCTTTGAATTCATGGGAAGGTGTGCCTCTTCCCCTCCCCCAGCTCCATTGTTCTCCAGCAGGGAGTTGTCCCAGGGACACTGCCAGACCAGCGGGAACTGGTTTGGGCAGGAAAAGCCATGCTGGCAAGTGAAAACAAAGGACTTTGACCTAACTTTTAAACCCCTGAACCTATTCAAGTGAATTTTGGATATGTTTGTCCCCAAGTTATACTGGTTAAAATAATATAAGTGTACGTATGTATGTACGATGTAAACTCACAAAGTTATAAAAATGTATAAAAAGTGTAACTTTTGAGCTTGGAGATAATTGAGTATATACAGTAATTGACTCAATTATCTCCTAAGCATGGGGGAGCAATATGATGGGTGTGTTTCTATTGTCCCATTGTGTCTGATTGGATGCTGTACTTGCATTGTATATGTTGTAATGTGTTTATTGGTTGTTCTGAAAAACCCTGTGGGTGGTCCTTTGGTGCCAAGTAATACAGATCTTCTTGACCCTCAATGCATAGCCTTGTCTCGTTATTGGAGAGAACTGCTATAATCACAGTGGGGATTGGTATGCTCTGCATACTCCCTTGAGCTTTTAATCACTTAGCTCTTTTAAGAGCTGTTCCTGATATGCTTTCCTGGAGGAGAGGTCTTCCCCACACGGTCCTGGAGGACAGAAGCTGATCCAGGGTGGGCAGAAGACGGCGAGACTCCAGTTAAGCTACAGCAGTTGTGGAGTCTTGCGGTGGTTGTGGTGTACGGTGCGGTGCTTGTGGTCCTCGGCGCAAGCTAGGAAGCGTCCATTAACGGAAGTATAGCAGCGCACATCTCCACCCGTCACATGGGAAACCAGGTTTTGATTCCCCAATGGCGAGTCAGTTTTATTTTAAATCCTGTTAGAGATGTAAACCTACACAACATTGTTCCCTAATGGAAATATGCAGGTTTAATATAATTAACCCTTTTGAGATAATGGCTATTCTGTATAGTTTGTTCCATTTTGGCATTTCTCCCTACATGCACATATCACAGACGGAAAACATTTGATTGTCAAGATGCCTTCATTTAAGGCATTGTCTATAAGTAGTTTTGGTGTAGGCACACATTTGGGTGCAGTTTCCATAAAATAAATTTCAATCAGTTTGACAACAAAAAAAAGCACTCTCCGGCACCCAATTCCTATATGCAGTTGTCTTAAAATATTATGATAGGGAATTCTACTTTACTCATTCTTTCCGGGTTCTTGTACAATTAAAACTCCCAGTGCAATTTCACTCTGTGCAAAAAGTATATTAAAGTCCTGGGGTAGAAAATGATTTGGCCATGTAGAATCAGCATGCCAATCCAGGATTATCAAATTGCCTAAGGCTACCTGTCTCTATTCAATGGCAACAGATTATAAAGGATGCTAGGTAATGCACATGTGTGCTGAGAATGCCCAAGAAGTGACTACATGTAAATTAAATTAATAGGCAAATACATATGTTTAGAAATGTATATGTATTTCAAAAATGTATTTGTTCTTAATCATAATCACTCATTAAATGTATAATTAGCTTTATGTGTACTGTTCCAGTAGACTCAAGTATCTGTTCCATGGGGGTGTGGCTTGGCGCGCAGACAAGATGGCCGCTTGAGACCTCTGCTCCTGACACCGGGTCCCAATAATCGCAGCAATAACCTGGTCCAGATGGGTCATACAAAGAAGCCCTGCAATCCCCAGCCAATGCGCCACGTTTTGACACCACACCGAGCCATACCGATGGACAAATTTCTGTCCACGCCGGTGGAACTGGTGGACTTCACAGCCTTTCATGTCCCCTCAGAACCCAAAAACCCTGCTCATCTTGGAGGGCCCACAATATCCGATGGCACAAGTGAGGGCCGACCTGCGTACAATTTCGCAGGCCATGTTCACCAAAACAGACGCAGGGGCAATGGAGGCCTCCCTAAAATGTTCCATCCAGGCCAAACTGGCCATGATCCGCCAGGACGTTTCTTCAGCCACACTTCAGGCTTCAGCTACAACCTTCTCCCAGCAACATAATGCAGTTGAACTGGCAGCCACAAGACAGGGGAACATGTTGCTGGATGTTAGACGGCATATAGAAGACCTCGACAACAGAGGCAGGAGGTGCAATATTAGGATACGCGGCCTACCTGACAACATTCAGGGGGAACCACTTGAGGCCATGCTGCAAGCACTCTTCAATTTTATCCTGGGGAATGATGATCCAGAGAATTTCCAAGTGCATCGCGCACACAGGGCCCTCCGCCAACCAAGGACAGCTGTTTGCACTCGTTCCAGCAAATAGAACGCATTATGCACCAAGCCAGAGAACGTCAGTTAACCTAACGTAATGGTGGGGCTTCCCCTTCTGCCTAGATGCAAGGTCTGGCAAAGCTTGGGCTATGATAAAGATGCCAGAGGACGTAACAGGGTTTCTAAGAGACCTCACACGACAGTACAAAACTGGATCCATCCGACCACCCTACCACTGAGAGAACAGCGCTCTCACCAACGCAGACATCCTGCCCTCAACTCACACTCCTCCGCATCTGCCTGAGCAACACCACACAGTTCAGAGAAATGAGAGATCCACGTCCAGCCCTAGAGATTGTGATTCAGGGAGACGGAGGCCTCGGTGGGTCCGAGGTATACTCCACCGGAGACATGCACGCATTCTGACCCTACACTAGAGAAGGTGAAGCAAGAAGGTGAAGCAAGTACCCCCATCCTCACTCTGTAAAGTTGTTCCCCGGGACATGTTTTACAGTAACCCACGTTCCTCTCGGGTGGGTACTCATGGCTTCATGTTTTGGGTGGCCCAGGCCTCTGGCCAGCTACTAGCTGGGGGGTGACTGTTTTCCTATTGAGCTGCTCTGGACATGGGTTACAAGAAGCTTTCTGCTGCCCAGGCAGCGAAGGGGACTATACTCCGACCTGCCCTATTCTAAGCTAAACCCCTGGAAGTGGGGCATTTGGACCTGTCACTGGGCTACTGCTAGGGATGAGCTGAGGTGATCTACGTGCCTCATGGGTAGGTACCCATGGCTCTATGTTTTGGGTGGTTTTGGGAGTGGGGATGCTCTGGGTAGGTGCCACGAGGATCTTTGACTACTCAGTTTTCAACTTCAATTTACATTTCAGACAGATCAGTCCCTGAGGTTACCCTGAAATGGTTGACATAACAAACACGCTGTTACAGATGGGACGCTGAAACCATTTAAGGCGTTTGTTATGCTCCCTTTTCTTAACACATTCGCTGAAGAGGTGCATACCCTGCTACAAATGGAACAGTTACACTAAAGTTCTAATATGCTATTTTATTTTGTTAATTTGGCTGCTACACCGCTTATTCGCATCTGATATGTCTCTTAACTAACATGGCATAGGGACATGTGGTTGTAAATAACAAGGGGCAAATGGATTAGAAGAGTTACCTTATCTCCAATCCCCACCCCCACCCCTTTTTTATTTAGTTTTTATTTATTTAGGTATTTTTTTCCTCTTTGCTCGCCCACCCCCTCCTCCTTCCCCCCCATGCGTTCCACTGCGGCTCTGGATGCGTTCCAGTCTGCCATACATTTGCATGTAGTATATATATATATATATATATAAAAATATATGTATATATATATATATATATATGTTGTTGGTTTTTATATTATTTTTTTATTTATTATTTTTATTTATTTTTTCATTTTCCTTCTCCCCTTCCTTTCCTATTTACAACAATTAGACCCACCACAACACGGCCCTTACTAAGTTTAGGAATGCATATGCCAAGTTAAAAGCTTTTTATTGTTACATGCTATAACATGTTTGTGATGCATATCCTGATTCTCAGACTGAGGCCTGGCAGACATAGGTGATGTCTAAGGCCACAAGGAACACGCATGTCCTGTTATGATTATTCTGTTCGGCCCTATATACCCCCGGACCATAGGATCCCTTTGGGACCTTAATTTCAGAGGTGCAACATGTCATACTGCTAAATTAGGGGCCACTGGGGTGTACACATAGTGCACTCATCTGGCTGGCGACATTTGGACCAGGGGCTACAAACAGGCTGGGATTTTCAGAGTGGGAGATTCAACTATCACAGTTGAGTTTAGCACCCGACAGTTAGGTAGACATCCCATAGGGGCGATAACGTGGGAAGAGTGAATACCTTCTTCACGGGCACTGATTGGACTGTCACCCTAATATTTGTGGGCACCAGTGACCCGGGTAGATGCGTGTTGTCCATTAGGTACCTACAGTGCCTACTGCATTTGTAAATATCATACTCTCCTTCCTGCTCTCTTTTGGAGCTTCCTTCCTTCTACTGTTATTTCCCTCATTTCTCCCCTTCTCACTCCACTTATAATTTACCTCCACCTTCTCCCCCATCCACCTTTTTTTCACTACTCTTTCTCTCATTCTCTCTTCATCTCTACCCTATATCCCTGCTCAAACCTGGAATAAGGGGGGCCCCGACCGTAATGCCGCTTCCGCTCCCTGTCCGTACGCTCAATGTACAGGGACTTAATGTTCCTGAACGCCGCTCCTGACTGATACGGGAATTGTGGCCAATCCGGACGTTGGTTGCGATTATACAGGAGACACACTTAAAGCTGGGCTCCGAACTGATGCTAAAGGACAGAAGGTACCCCACTGGATACTTTGCATTGCATACATTGGACAGATTATCACAACTTTACATTTTCACTATGCTATATGCCCCCAACTCCTGCCAACACATATTCCTTACGAAGGCACTGAGACTACTAGCAGACTTCTCAGAGTGGGTACTGATCCAAGGAGGCAACTTCAACGTATCGCTGGACCCATCTATGGATACATCTCAGGGACATAATGCGATCACCTATTCACGTCTTAGATGTATCAGGAAAGCCATGAGGACCTTACATTTGATGGACTGCTGGAGAACACTCCATCCGGAGACAAGGGACTACTCGTATTATTCAGTTGTTCATGGATCGTACACTAGAATAGACTACCTCTTCCTCCCCCCAGCTTACTTAACATTGCTCCAAGACTCGACCATCGGAAATATCACGTGGTCGGATCACGCCCCAGTATAGTTTAAGATGGCCTCCCCCTTCTTTAAACCGAGGGAGCGAATATGGTGTCTGAATGAATCATTATTGCTGGAAGACGAAGTACGCACCGGTGTACGAGAGGCTTTAATCGACTACTTCAAGGAAAACACCAACCTAGACACAGCCTGGACTAACTTATGGGAGAGCCACAATAATGTAATCCAAGGTGTTCTTATTTCCATAGGGGCAAACAAGAAGAAGGCTAGATCAGAACAGATCCGAAACATTTTGGACAAGATTGCAATTGTGGACCTACGTCACAAACAAACATTAGCTGAGACAGATCTAAGTGAGTTCCTGTCGATCAGGAAAGACCTTGCGTCACTTAACACTCAACAACATTTCTCTATGCTACAAAAATCCAGGAGATTCTTCTGTGAACTCTCAAATAAGTGTGGACGCCTACTAGCTAGCTAAAAAATAGAGCGGTTTCATAACATAGGCTCCAAACAGGTCCCACTTGGCACTCCGAACATCCGTCTGAAATGGCAGAGTTATTCCACGACTATTACAAGGGGCTCTGTAGTATATATCTGAAGCAACTGATCCACAACACTCAGCTAGACACCTTGAGGAGATGGAGACCTACCTCTCGGCACACGTCAACAAGAAGATTTTAACAGATATGGCATCTTCACTAGATAGGGAAATCACTATAGAAGAGCTCCAGGGGGCCATCAAGTCCTCAAAGACAGGCAGAACACCTGGCCCAGTTTGCCTCCCATTGCAATACTATAAGAAATTTGGGGATGTCCTTCAACCACCACTTGTGGCCTACTTTAATTCACTGCTACGGAATGTCAGACTTGGTAAAGAGTCCACTCATGGCACACATCACCATCTTGCAATCCATGTTTCAACTTTTTTGTTGTTGTTGGATACTTTCAAATGTTTTCATACTTTACATAGACGCTAGAACACTTCCTGTATTGGGAAGAGGAGATCGTCATACGTGCGTAATGACGCATGCGACCGCAAGTTGAGGCCTGCAACCACGTGATCCGGAAATGAACGGAGTGTGCACCACGACCCGGAATTAGAAAGAAAATTTACCACGAAATTCAAACTTCGGGTGACTATAAAAGCTTTGATTTATCTTGCACTGAGGAAGACTACCTGTAGTCAAAATGCATTTGCACTTGGACTTTTTATTCCTGCGGTAGTGTATACATACTGCTTATTTATGTCCTATTTTTATTGTTTTAATAAATTGTTATACTGCAAGATCCTGGTTTGGAGTACTTTCGTAGCCAGTAATTGGCACCTTTACGCTCATTATACAGAGCCTGGCACGGCTCTATGCTTGTGAGTTGACATCTCATATTCCTACCTATTGTAATATTATTATACAGATTTCACTATGTATGGCAATGTCTAGATTTCTCAAGAAAGAATTGCACTGGTGTCATTAGACACAATTTTCACATAGCACACATTCACTTTATTTGATTGGATTACACTTTATTTGCACTTTTTCTTTTGTATTGCATTTTACCATGTAGACATAATTTGTCTACACGATTATAGATATTAGTCATTATTAGTGAAATTATTTAATTGCAGTAATGTTAGGTTTGATAAATGGTACGTGGGGGGGGGGGGAAACATTACCTGTTTATTTGACATTATTAATAAAGAATCACCTTATTGAGATTTAGTCTGTGCTGAACTTCTTCTTTTTCCATGGGTGTGCTTACCAGGTAGCTTTACAACTCATTGATTGGCATAAATTTGTACCATTGGGTAATAAATATAAAATAAGCAAATTGAAACCAAAGTGGCTTAGTGGGAAGGTAAACCAAGAAATTACAAATGAAAAAGGAGCATTTAAAGAATTTACATCCAACAAATCAATATTTTAGCCAGGTGGGAACATCTCATCTTATCTAACTCTGGCAGAAACACTCTTAAAATCTGTTATAGTGCCTATACTACTCTCACATTCGGATGAGAAACTCCTAAACCAGCTTTTCTCCAAATTTCTTTGGAAACAAAAACGTCCAAGAATAGCAAAGCACAAAATTTGCCCACCTAGATTTAGCCTGGGTTTAACTATCACAAACCTAAACCTCTATACTTTAGCAGCATGCCTTAGATGGATACAAGATTTGAGACAATTCACAGCAGTAAATATAGCACAGCAGTTGAGTCCTGTAGCTTGCCCAATTGCTACACACCCAATATACCTATTTTCCAGAGGAGGCATAGAATAATCCCCTATTAGCATCCATCATTAAAACATTGAAGATTGTGAGAAACATTCTGGGACTCCACTGGCAATTCACCATATTCATTCCCTTTTTAAGTAACCCTCATTTTCAAGATGGGCTGCTGTTGGCCAAACTAATATGTACATTTTCGTAGATAAATTCAACAAATCAACTTTAGCATTCCAACAATTTAAAAATAGACTTCCGTTAACACAACCCACCACTTCATCATATTCTATAAGCTCACTTTACGTTCAAATTCAGCCTAACCTAGATCACATAATCAAGCATATCACAGTGGACAACACGTTTTCCAACACTAACCCACAAAACCCATATATGTACAACTATCAAGCTACTTCAAATTCTCCCATTATCCTCCTACTAGGAAGTGCATCTAAAGATAACGCACCATGCATACTACTCTGCTCAAAAGCAATTTCTGCTAAAACAAAGGGACACAGTGACATGTTTAAAGTTTGGGATGGATGGAGCAGGTCTTTATCATAGCTTCTGGGGATGTGTGAACGTTAAAACATTCTTCAGACAAGTAGCAAACCACATAACAAGATTAACAGGCAAGTCTTTTAACATCTCTCCAGCACTGGATGTATAGGGGGTGGGGATGGATGATTCATGCTTGGTTTTTAAACTGACCCACCTGATCCTAGCCACAGCATGGAAAAGCATATTACACCAATGGACTAACCCTCTTCCTCTCCCCCCCTCCCCTTAATATCTTTCCTAATCACAAAACTTTCCTTTCTATTCCACATGGACTTAATAAAAGCACTCCTACTAAAAAAATCATTATTACCTGGCAACCTTATATTAATTAATTGGATAATTCTCTTCAGTCCAAAATGAAATCCAAATTAGATTTCATAGACTGTTGTGGTCAAACAGGCCATCTCCATAGCAATTCTTAATGGGGAAAGCTTGATCTGCACCTCCTGATAGTGATAGACCTGATCTGCCATGCTGATCTACTAAGAACTGTAATAGCATAGATAGCTTCTTTTTTTTTTTTCCTTTATCATTTTGTTTGTTTTATTTGGCTTTTGTTTCTGATTATATTTTTAAAAATCATGAAACATGTATATCAACATATAAGCTTTTAACATACAGCTTTTCCAATTACTGAAAGTAAATACCCTCCTTGTCAATCTACATTGCATCATGACAATAAAATAGTTTAAAACTAAATTAGACAGGCAATATAACGTGGTCCGACCACGCTGAGGTAGCGATCACGTTCCAGCCCCCACGAATCTCCAGACCCTGGTCCTGGAGACTTAACCCGATACTACTCAACGACCCACAAACGGTACAACAAATCACAACAGAACTCAAACATTACTTCGACACAAATAAGGATACAGTACAATCCAACGCAATCATATGGGCTGCTCACAAAACGGTGATTAGGGGTACCCTTATTAGCTTAGCCACAGCACATACAAAAAGACGCCTCGCCCACATAGAGAAAATACTAGCGACCATCAGGGACCTTGAATCCCTACATAAAGCCACCCCCACCCCGGACCTCACTACACAACTCCAACACCAACGACAGGCCCTCCACAATGCAATGGCGGTGGACGCCACCAAGGCTCTACAATGGACAAAACAAAAGTTCTACGAAAAGTCCAATAAAGCCGATACACTCCTGGCCTGCAGGCTGCGCAAGCGCATCCAGGCCAAGCAGATAACACGCATACGCACACCATCGGGCCATGACACAGAGGCACCTACCAAAATCGCGGAGGTATTCCAACACTACTTTGCAGACCTATATGACCACTCCCCCCACCATAGGCAACGGACCGCCACCCTACAGGACCGTATCCAAACCTTTTTGGACCGAACCCACCTGCCCACACTATCAGATAGCGCGGTCACTCAACTCTCCATGGAGATCACTGAGCAGGAAGTAGCGACGGCGATAGGGGCCACCAAACCCAACAAAAGCCCAGGACCGGACGGATATCCGGGCATCTATTACAAAACATTCCGGGACACTCTCCTGCCCCACCTAGTACAACTATACAACACCCTGCTGCAGGGAAACCCGCTCCCCAAAGACATGCTGCAAGCCAACATTTGCCTTCTACCCAAACCCAACAAACCCCTCTCAGACCCAGGCCACTATCGGCCAATATCCCTATTGAATGTAGATATCAAACTGTTCACGAAAATACTCTCCAATAGGCTGCTACCACATATCACATCATTAATTCATCCGGACCAGGTGGGCTTCATCCCCACTCGCCAAGCTAGTGACAATACCAGGAGGATGCTAGACCTGATCTGGGTGGCCACCCAGCGCTCCATTCCAACGCTACTCCTATCCCTGGACGCCGAAAAGGCATTTGATAGGTTACTATGGCCATTTCTCTTCGCCACTCTGGAGAAACTCAGATTCCCCAAACCATTCCAAGACGCCCTGCGAATGATCTATTCTAATCCTACTGCCAACCTACTCATACCAAACACGAACCCCCCCTCGTTCTCCATCTATAATGACACGAGGCAGGGCTGTCCCCTATCCCCCATCCTGTTTGCCCTCTCACTTGAACCGCTACTGCATCTTATCCGCACCACTCCCCAGATCACAGGCATCAAAATCCGCACACAAACATACAAGGCGGCGGCATACGCCGATGACCTGATGCTGTCACTCACAGAACCGCTGAACGCACTCCCACCTCTCCTCAAACTCATAGACGACTACTCAGAGGTATCGGGATACAAATTAAATTTCGATAAAACTGAAGCACTCATGCTGACAATACCAGACAATCAAAGACAGACACTACGGAACACATATGCTTTCAATTATAAGACCTCACACATCTCGTACCTAGGGATCACACTACCAGTGGAACTACACCGCACATACGCACTAAACTACTCACCGCTGATCCAGAAAATCACGGAAGACTTGCAGAGATGGAGGGACTTGTCTTTGTCGTGGCTGGGACGCCTAGCCTCGGTAAAGATGAATCTTCTCCCAAGACTGCTCTATCTTTTTCAAACCCTCCCCATCCCCATACCCACTTCGGACTTCAAATACTTACAGTCGCACATCGACAAATTCATCTGGTCGAATAAACGACCGAGAGTGAAAAGGGCTACCATGTACATCCCCAACAGGACGGGAGGCCTGGGCCTACCCCATTTACAACACTATTACCACGCGACGCA